ATATATATATATATATATATATATATATATATACCTTATAACCATAATTTCTGGAAACCCTAAAAAAAGAAGATTTTTATGTCCTTTTGACCAAAATACAATGCAGAGTCTTTGCCAAAGTTTGTTCTAGCTTCTGATACAACACCTGAGAGAAAGCAAAGCTTTATAGATATCTCCCCGCCTCTAGCTTTACTCTGATCCAAAGATGGAGACAAGAGGTTTTATCCTAAACTTTGGCTCTAAGGCTACTACTCAGTTTTCACCTGGAAAAACAGTGGCTCCTGGGTTATATGAGAAAAAAAGTTGTACTTTCAGGATAAAGAATTCAGACCAGAGAAAGAAGGATTAGGAATTCCTAGATGTAATTAATCAAAGCTGAGCTCCTCGCCTCAGTGCATCTCTGAGTAACGTTGCAGAAGAGGAAGCTACTGGTCTAAAAAAGGGATTAAATAGCTGTATATCCTTGGTAACAATGATGGATTACTAACCAAATCCTAATGGCTTAGGTTATTTCTAGCCAAACAACAGTAGGGTTTAAATGGGAGTTTGTTAGTTTGACTCAACCAATGTATCTCTGCATAATGTCACTCTTACACTTAAATTATGTGTTTTTGTCTTTTCTAATAATCTTTTTTTGGCTTTCTCCACAGTGAGTATCACATCTTCACCCTCTGCACAGAGACAAAGTCCCACAATGTCGACTGCTACTGGCCCAACCCGCTGGTAGAGAGCTACATCATCCGCATTCACAAGCACTTTTTTTCCAATTGCACCATGGAGGGAGTGAAATGGGGGGACCCACCGGACGACACGCTCACCATTCTCATTCTCATACCGGTTTTCCTCACTTTGGCCATGATTGCTCTGGTGGTCTGGTGCAGCAAAAGGAGTGATCTCCTGGCATAGGACATGAAAATGAAGGATACAGAGAGAGAGAGACTGCAACTAAGGCTCAAACCTCTTCATTAACTTTATATTGTAAATTATTTTGGTTTGATGGCCCCATTGAAAATACAATAAACAACCTTCTTCTTTTATAAGAAATAACAACATCAGACAGAGTCTCTCGCATTGCATAAATAATAATCTTGAGACTTAGACCTGTTGAATGACTCAGGGCTTTAAGGTCTAGGACTTAAGTCTCATTAAGCAGTTTTATCCTGTGTAATCAGGGTAAGCTAGTAGGTATTAGATCATAAATCTTATTGAGTTATTGAAGTGTGGACCAATGGTTCATTTTTCCTGGTAATATTACACTGAGTACAAGTCAAGGATTGGAATTCACAACCTATCTGAATTATTTTGTTTTTATGGAGACTATACTGTATCTCTAATGTGAGAAGATGATACTTTGACCTTCATCTTCACTTTACTTTGACTCACAATTAAATGCCGAGATTTGACTTGACTTGAAAATATGTACATTTTCTCTCTTATAAAGGGGCTGAAACTTGTCCCTCAAAAAAAAATTCCTTAAAACTTCTGTACCCGCTTGTAAAGACTAAACAAAATCAGATGTATTAAGTAGAATTTATTTTTTAGCCATTCTGACTGTTATTTTTCCTTTGTCTTTCTACAAAGCTAAAAGCCACACGGCTTTCAACATTGGGATTTTAAATCATCTACCCCTTAGAGATGCCAAGGATGTGGGTTGTGTAATTGGTCTTCACTTGCTGGGTTGATTTTCCCTGGAGGATAATTATGTAAAGCATTCCTGAAATCTATTGGATACAGACTTTTGACCTGTGAGATTCCTGCCGGAGCGCTGTCTCACTGCTGAAGGCCAAAGTATTCACCACTTCAGTGACTGACCTCCACACTGATGGGAAATCCAAGTCACAGAGGAAGCTGTATTTAAATATTTTATCCCCACACTGTATGGAAGGAAGCCAAAGTTGGAACTTATACTGTTTCATGGAATGTAATGTTTTGTCTTGCTAAATGACTGAATGGATCTTCACCACTGGAAAGAATAAACTTTACAAAGACAAGGAAACACTCGGATTTATATGTTTGGAGACTTGAATTTCCAGTTGGACTGATCCCCAAAAGTCGGTTTTGTAGCAGTGTAACTTATAAGATATTGCTGTTAATATACTAGTCCTCACAAAGATGAGTTATCTGTAGAGGTCTATATCTGTCTGTGCAGTCTACTGTATCTTTGTTGGTTTCTCACTGTTACTCCAAATAGAAGGAAATGGACACTTTTTGTTTAGCACAAGAACAGGCAAGGGTTAATTGGACTTCCTGAGCATTTTTAGATTCATGCTTCCTCCATGACTCATGCATCATCACTTTTCTTCAAAGAGCTCTATTTACATGTCTTTGACTGTGGGATATTTGGAACATACATCTATATTAAGATCATGCATTCCCAAAGCTTTCAACAGAGTAATTTTATTATCATAAAGACAGCATAATATGCAGGGGATTAAGCTCTACTGTTACGGTTGTCAGCTGGTCAGGGATCATGGTGACGCTGATTGAATGAAAGCCTCACTTCTGTTAGTCTGCCCCAGGGTAGCTGTGGCTACAATGTAAAACACCACTATTAGCTTGTGAATGTAAGGGTGAGAGGGTGAATGTAGTATGAAAAGCTTTGGGATTCTCCACACTTTATAAAGCACTATATAAATACAGGTCGGAACTGTTGTTCTTGGAAAGAAGAATTGCTCCATCAGCAGTTTTATAAATGTTTTTTAGAGCTTCTAAGACATAGATATGGCATAGATTTTTGATTTAATGTCTATAATTTACTTTTTGATACATACCCTCCTCCCTGCTAGAAGACAAGCTATTATAGCTGTATTTTACTAGAATTTGCTCAGAGCTAGCCTACTTTACTAATATAAACTACGTTGGATTTTACACTTACAAACAGCCATTTGGTTACTAAGAGATTGAACCTTGATATGTGTCCAGCTGAGGTATGGCTGCGAATACTGTAGCCTCCTTTTTTATGACCAAGTTGGTGATGTTGGGTTTTAAGTTAATGACAACCATGCCTTTTGACCGGAAATTCAACTATTTATGTTACCAACAGTTTGAAAATGTTGACTTTCTCTTCTAATGAAATGTAGTAAAGACAATTTAGTTTTCTTTATTTGTTTTAGCTTAGAATCAATCTGTTTCACAAATGTTTGGAGACATTTTTTTATTTAGAAACTCCTTTATGTAAAATGGATCTGCACATCTGATAAATCAAAAAGCAGAATGTTAGTTTCTTTGTCATTAGATTTTGATAAGGCATGATGACCCAGGTAAGAATATTTAGCCACCGATGAAACAAACAAGCCAAACTTTGAACCTGATCTTCAAAGATTCCAAATAAGGAGTCCTAAATTACTTGGGGGGAAAGAAAATGGGTGTGTTGTGTGTGATCTACAAAGAATGCATTGGGTAACTGGTGCAAAACTGGTTTGGACCTTAATAAGGAAATACCATAATCTACTCTCAGGGTGGGCAGCAGGTTAACTGTAAAAGAAACGTGGATTTTCTGCCTATTGATGAAGGGAAACTTTCTAAAAGTTTTGCACTGTCTGCTTGACTTATTTCAGACTCCCTGTGTTGATTTTTCACCTGGTTAGTAAACCAGTACCAGCTTTGCGAATGCTATCAAATTCGAACATGTTTTAAAGATCAGACTCTTTGCCTCATGGGTCCTGTTCACATTAACAAGTGAACATAAAGAAGACATTTTTTGTTTGGTTTGTATCTGAACCATTTGCAAAATTGTATAAATATTGTTTTCAAAAGTGCAGATGAAAAAACTACCTAATCTCAAAACAAAACATAACAGTAAAGCTTATTTCATTTGCTTTTACCCTTGTATTTTAGCCTAGACCTGTATTAGCCATGCTCAAGAGCTGAATTGAATTTGATGTTGTTAATATCTACATTTGCATCACCATTTCTCAGTAGACTGACATAGACTGTGTGGAATTAGACTTTTTATTTAAACAGTGAAAAAGTAAAGCATTCAGAATATTGTAGCATTAGCCATAATTTCTCCCTCCTTTCCGATGTTCTATTCATGTCATATTTATGGACATTTCTCAAATAAAAGAACCATCTTAAGCTAAATAAGTGACACAAAGGCATTTTTGTTTGAGTTTGGAAGAACTTCCCCAAAAGTCAACTTTAATAAATGTCTTGTACACATCTTAAATATGAAACTAATGGAAGGCAAAACTTCTCAATAATAGTATTTAAACTTAGATGTTGCTTGTAATCATTGGCTGATGTGGTAAATTGAGAATTAATAAAATTTTTGATGTAACTTTTGGGATGTGATATCTATTTATATCTTGTATACACTTAATGTTTGTAAATCTACTATTTGTGACCTTTTGCTTTTTGATAAGTCTCTCCACATCCACTATATAATGTATGAAGTCTACTAACTTAATTTGCCTTCAAACAGCTTGCATGAAACATTTTGAACTGAAAAAAATGGAACATAGTGTTTGGGGTAGTTTTAGAATCACAGGAAAGAAGTAGGTGGAGGAGGAACCGGGAAGGAGTCGTATAGGAGAAAAAAACATGTCTCATTTCATTTTGAAATAAATAAATTAAGTCATGTTGTAACGTCTCATGTCTCAATTGTCTCCTTTTAGTTTTCATCCAAAGCTAGAGATTACTTATATGTAAGAGCAGCAACAGGCCGTTTCTTTTTCAAATATTGCATGCTGATTCATATTTTAAACAAATATGAGTTTTGTTTCCTGAGATAGAAAATATAATGTCCAGGAATAAGATAAGTTTTTTTGAGAAATGGGTAACAACTGTAAGTATTTGGTTTGGCACTTGATCTGCTTTGGTTCAATTTGTCAATAAATGGCTTACAGTATATCATCATATTAAAAAGATTTTATATAGTGAGGATGCCAAGGACCCACTCTTTCCATTTAAGTGTAGGTAACACTCCCTTACTAAAGGACAACTTTCTGTTTCTAAAGAGGAGGGTTTATTTTTTCTTTAAAGGTCTGATCTGAGTTATTTACTTTCTGGCTAAACTCAAATCAGAGCTGTCCATGCGGTTCCAATTCACCATGTGTCACTGCTGTCACAGGATTCAAAAATTGCCCAGTGAACCAGAGACCAGGCCTCAAATACTGTCTCTATTACCTCAAGCTTCTGACACATCCACTGTCTGATCTATCCAATATCTACTTTGTCATAGAAGCATGAAATTAAATTTCTCATGTCATAACAACACACATACCTCCAGGTGTAGCAGCATTACTTTCAAGAATGTGTCCGGCAGCTTTATGTGTCCACAATTAAAAGAACTGGGGTTATATGAAAGGGTTCAAATGACTTATTTGATGGGATGAATTTGTCATATCAGCATGAATAAAATAAGGAGACAACATCAAAGGTTGGAGCAAATGTTAATAAAACCAGCAGAGGTTCCGCCATTACTAAAGATGATTATTTCCTATGGATCACACAGAGCAATCTCAGTGCTTTGCTACAGTATTTATACATTTATTACACATGTTTTCTTGTCGGGTTTTTGACACATTATCTAACAGATTTACATATAAAACTTTGAACGGGAAATTTCTTTTAGTTAATATGCTTTGATTTAAACATTTTCTGTCTATCTGTCCGTGTGTTTGTCTATCTTAGTACCTTTTATTTATTGCATATTTCATTAGTTCTAAGTCTATGTTTTAATGCTTTGCTTTGGCGATTCCTAAGTGAGCAGCTGAAAGGGCATACATCTCCTTGAGGTTACAAAAGCACAAATTGTTCTGGTGTGCTTTGTGTAACAACCTTGCAGTGGTGTCAAAGGTACTGTACACACATTTGTTACTTAAGTAGAAGTATAGATACTGCAAGGGATGCACGATATAATCGGCCCCCTATCGGTATCGGCCTTAAAGCTGAATATCGGAAATCGGCCACCCCACCAATATTTAACCCGATATTTGATCAGCTTCTGAGTTTCTAAAGTCTATACAAAAAAACAATACTAATTCTTCCTC